ACGGTGTATCATAGTATAATAGTACGACACTTTTAGAAAACCATGTTTGTGATAGTTGTATGACCTCAAATTTTGTACACACACTCTTTTTATCTCAATAATCAATCCCCAAAAAACAAAAGTTCAATTTGAACCCTAAATATGGTCAAAATGAGTCTCCTCCAAAAACTAATCTAGACTATTCATTTTGTGAATTTCAATATCATAGCCTTTATAAACTCAAAATCATTTTTTTATTTTTTAAAATTTTTCATCTAATGACATTAAAGCCATCCAAAAAAATTGGAAATGAAAAAAAATCCTTCTAAGGCCTAGATCTAAGCATCTCCCCAAAATGACCGGCCTATGTTAATTGGGCTAAAAAAATACTTTCTAGGTTGTGTTTTCAATTTTTTCTTTTTTTGTGATTGTTCACTAAAATGAAAAGAATGTATATTTAAAATTTTGGATAAAACAAATGGATGTAAGATGGTTTTCTAAGGTTGTTGCTTCATATTACTATACCACTTGTGGTTTAGACCCTTGAAATGCTCAACGATTTTAGACATTTAGATACCCTTATCCTATAGTATAGTAACTTTTTGTTTAGGGATATTTTAAGTCAAGGGTAAACTAGAAATTCTTAATAGAAACAAAATCATTTATTAACAATAGTGGATTATAATATCACCGATATGGCGTGTGACATCACTCACAATATGCATTAATTGTTTTTAACTACTAATAAAATGCCACTATTTCCTTATTAAAAATATCCATTTTACCTTTCTAGATGACAAAAAATGTCTATACTTGAAAATTTTGTATATAATTCAAAGGTATTTTAGTGTCATGAAAATGTTGAGCACTTTAAGGATCTACACCACAAGTAGTGTAGCCTAACAAAACCCTTATATAATATATATAATAGATAGCAGGAAGTGATCACGTGTATCTTAAAAGGGTGAAGTTTGTACAAGGTGCGGACCTTATACTATATAAGGTGCACCTCTTAAAATTTGCCGATATATGCACTTCCGGTGTTGAACACTTTAGGATGGCTTTGAAATCTATATTCAACTCTAATTATAAAAATTTAAATTGTCAAAAGAAGTACAAATCGAGTAGACCTACAAATTCTTGAAAATCTTAAAAATAAATTGTCAATGATGCCTTTGAAATTTATATTCAACTTTAATTATAGGAAAAAGTATATATAGAGCCTATGCTCTAAACAATCAAACTAGAGCCTACCTCAAAAATTTCACTTGAAGATGTATACCCAAATATCATCAAATTGATCATCTTGACCTCAAGAAACATGGATATGCAAAAAAATTGGATTTCAAGTTTTGGATATAGTGCATCTTGTAATGCATTTTTGGGCCGTCAATTTTCAAGATTTTAAAGTTTTCATTGATCTGCATGGTCAACACTATTTTTGAAGCTTTAAATTTTATAATTAAATATGAAAATATATTTTAAGGTTATCACAAAGATTTTCAGTATTGAAATTTCACGACACGATTTTAAGCTTTACTTTAATTGTTTAGAGCCTTAACTCTATGCAAACCCCACCCCTAATTATAAAAATTTTCAAATAAAGTACAAATCGAGTAAACCAAGTGACACTTGAAAATCTTAAAAATAGATTATGCAGATAACTTATTACAAGGTACATTATTTTTAAGATTTGAAATTCTTTTTTTTTTCTTTATGACATATAGGTTAATATGATCCATTGGAAGTTTTTACCACTAGAATACTCTTGTTACTGGATTTTTGTAATGCACCTCACTTCTATAATATAAATTGCACCCGTATGTATACATTTTTTCCCGTGTATAATGTTTCTTTCCACCCGTTTTCACGTTAAGGGCCTATTTGGGTACATCGACATTAAGAAATGGATTCCTAATATCTTGGATATTGTCAAAATCTTGTTTGGATGGTTTAATGACTAGGATAATTAAAATCAGGAAAATCAAATTCATAGATATAAGACCCATTTTTCCATGATTTCATTTCCACACCAAAACCTGTTTTTTTGTATTTCCAAGGGCCATGGATTTCACTCATTGCTTCCCTTGACCCGAAACATAGGGAGCATTTGGTAGGTATGAAAATTTTAGAGATAAAAAGTACCTAAATTTTTTAAAGAGATAAACTATCTCAAAATTTTTAGAGAGAAAAACTATCTCAAAGTTTAACTTTTAGACAGAGAAAGTATGTTCAAATTTTAGAGAGAAAGTACGTTAAAATTTTAAAGAGAGAATGTACTTTCTCTCTCTAAAATTTTAGAGAGATGAACTATCTCAAAATTTTAGACAAAAAAACTTTCAAATTTTAACTTTTAGAGAGAGAAAATATGTTAAAATTTTAGAGAGAGAAAGTACAAAAAACTTTTAGAGAGATAAACCATCTCAAACTTTTAGAGAGAAAAACTATATCAAATTTTAAGTTTTAGAGAGAAACTATCATATTTTAGAGAGAGAGTATTCAAATTTTTAGAGAGAAAAACTATCTCAATTTTTTAAAGAGAGAAACAACTCATAGTTTAATTTTTAGAGAGAAACAATATCATATTTTAATTTTTAGAGAGAGAAACTATATCAAATTTTAGAGAAAGTACCTAAAAAGAATATGAAGTTTTAGAGAGAGAAAATATTCTTAAAATTTTAGCAAAATAATATATTCTTAAACTTTTAGAGAGAAACTATTATAAATTTCAGAAAGAGAAATGGCCAAAACATTTAGAGAGAGAACCTATCCCAAATTTTAATTTAGAAAGAAAAAATATATTAAAATTTTGGAAATAGAAATTATATCAAATTTTAGATAGAGAAACTACCTAAAACATTTGAGAGAAAAACTATCTCAAAAATTTTGGAGAGAGAAACTATCCCAAAATTTATGTTTTAAAGAGAAAAAGTATATTAAAATTTTTGAGAGATAAACTATATCAAATTTTAAATAGAGAAAGTACATGAAATTTTTAGAGCGAGAAACTCTCCACAAAAATAAGAAAGAGAAACTATCCCAAAATTTAAGTTTTAGAGAGAGAAAGTTTCTCAAATTTTAAACTTTAGAGAGAAAGTATATCAAAGTTTAGAGAGACACTATATTAAATTTTAAAGAGAAACTATTTCAAAATTGTAGAGAAAGATTAGAGTGAGCATCTTAAAATTTAAGAGAGAGTAACTACGTCAAATTTTAAAGAGAGAAAGTACATAAATTTTTTTAGAAAAAAGAACTATCGCAAAAATTTTAGAGAGAAATTATTTCAAAATTTAACTTTTAGAAAGAGAAAGTATCTTAAAATTTACGAGAAAAACTATACCATATTTTAGAGAGAGAAACTAAAAAAATGTTTAGAGAGAAACTATTTCAAAATTATTGAAGAGGGGAACTATCTCAAGTTTTAAGTTTTAGAGAGAGTATCTTAAAATTTTACAAAGAAAAACTATATTAAATTTTAGAGAGTAAAACACCAAAAATTTTAGAGAGAGAAATTATCTCAATTTTTAAATAGACAAATTTTAAATTTTAGATAGAAAGTATATTAAATTTTAGAAAAACAAACTATATCAAATTTTAGATAGAGAAACTACCTCAAAATTTTTATAGATACACTATCCCAAATTTTGAATTTTAGAAAGAGAAAGCATATAAAAATTTTAGAGAGAGAAATTGTATCAAGTTTTGGTACCAAACAATGGACATAGAAGTGATTACAAAAAATCCATGAATTTTGTAAAATTTATCCAAACAAAAGATTTGAGGAATCCATGACAAAAATCCTTCATATTAAAAATCCATAGATTTCCTTGGATTTCTAATATCTAAGATTTCAAATTTCTTCCTATCCAAACAGGCCCTAAGATTTTACCCTCTCTCCTGCACCCTTCAAAAGCCAATGCTCAAAACGTATTACAGTGACCGTTGTTTTAAAAATTACTTTATAACCCTTTCTTTCTCCCCCACACCTTTCTGTAACCACAACGTGGTATTCAGGCATCCTTGACCTCCTGAATCCAATGGCAACGTCTACAGTCATCCCAAACTCACTCACAGTCTCTTGAATAATTCCGGATAGTTTCATGTTCGTCACGGCAAATCCGCCTACATAATAACAATGACAAGGTTATTGTTCTCAAATTTTGAGAGAGGCACTCAAAACCCCATTTTCTGATCCCTGATAGCTGTTTGAATTTCCAGAAAGCTTAGAACTCACAGGAAGGTGAACCATGCTGATCAATCAATACGGAAGAAAAAAATAACAGAAAATAGCAAACAATGCTAACAACACAGTTGCCTCCTAAATGCTTGATGGGTGGCCTTATTATAACACCGCATTCATAATGCATATATTGCCCATTTGATAAACCAATTGACTTCCTCAGATATCGACTGTACACTCTAAAAGGGGGAATATAGACAATGAAACTACTAAGATGCTCTCTTACGGAATAAGCTTTAAAGACTTTTCACTTGGTTAGTAGGCTTTTAAGATTTTTCACTTGTTAAAATGGACAATCCACAAGTTAAATATGCATATGATCCCTCCACAACTATAATTGACTTTAGTAGGCAAATTTCCATGTCACAACATGCCCATCTAATAAGTACTATCAGAGTACACATTCTTAATATAACTTTGTTGAGATATACATATCCACCCAAGCCCCTTCATACATAGATGATGCTGCCTATATACATCATCCTTTCGTCTTTCTAGGAACATACTTGAGACCTCAACATAAATATCTATAGATCCTCCAAGTAGGTAATTTTCAGATTTGGAAGTCCCATCATGGACAGTTAAATAATCAGAAGTTAGAAGCTAATCCTCGGATGATGGATAAAACAAACACAAATTATACGACTAATACTATCCCATAGTTTTCTTCAATAGGCGTAGTTTGTTCTTCTCATCATCCTGACAAATTCATCTGTATCAACTTCCCCATCGCCTGCAAAGATCACGTGCAAACAGATCAATGTAAGCCATAAATTGAGGACTCTAATGCCATCAACAGCTTACAGTTGCTTACCATTTCGGTCAGCCTCTTCAATCATCTCTTGAATCTCAGCAACGGTGAACTTCTCACCCAACTCCTTTGCACACCGTTGAATGTCCAGCACAGATATCTTGCCCTGAACCAACGTCCAAAAGTTAAAGAAATTCTAGAAAACAAAAGAAAATGTAAGAAAGAGCATAGTCACAATATTACATTCTTATCTTGATCAATGATGCTGAAAGCCTTCATGAGCTCTTCCTTGGTGTCCCTCTCTCCCATTTTAGCTGTCATCATGTGCACGAATTCATCAAAGTCAATAGCACCACTCCCATCTTTGTCAACATCTGCAATCATCTGCTTGATTTGCTGCAATAACATTATCATATTAGCATGTGATTTGGTTCCTGAGAAAATATTAAACAAGACCTGATTACAGAATTGGAAGTGAAGGCAGAGTTAATTGATGTTTGGGTTAAGACTGTCGAGACTCAAAAACCAACTTGAAACAAGGGAACGTTATTTGTCAATTTGATAAGGGGATGAATTTTCAGAAAAATAAAACACAAACTATTGGGAGACGAACACTTTTCCCCTGAGTAGAGCATTGCCACATGTTTCTCTCTCTTCTATTCTTTATTTGGGTTTTGGTTGCCTCCTGCTCTCCTAGAAACTGCCAACACGTAGGTCTGGGCTAGGCCAGGCCTGAATATTTATAGCTAGGATGGGGCCCAAGTTTTTTAAACCATGCCAGGCCCAAACCCTGCCTATGGTTCAAATAGGGTTGTCTGAGCAGGGACTGAATCGGCCTTTGCTCAGGCCCGGCCTTGGCCTGGTTAGGGCCAGCCCTAAGACTCAAAGAAAATAAAAAAGGACATGGCCTGTTGTGGCCCTGGCCCAGGGCTCCAGCCAGGCCCTCATGCTGTGGTGGCCTGGCCCTAGACCGGCCGTTAGGCCACATTAAATGTGTCCTTGTCTCTAGTTTTTCAGGGCCAACTCTAATTAGCAGTCTTACTCCCTCCCTCCTGCTAAATATTTAGGTTTGCTTTGTCTATACATTTCCTAGATTTGGTTTACATCTCATTCAACCAGAGTTTCTAGGGATATTGTGGTTTTGAACTGCTTGCTAAATTGCAATGATTGCAACAATGCAATTAGGGATTACCAACGTGTTCCAAAGGAATGAATCCACACAATACTGCTCCCATCATTAAAAGGACAATCCTCAAGTCTCTGGTTTCTAGTTGAAGTAATAGTGAAATGTAAAGAAAGTCGGCCCTTCAAGAGTCTTTACTACCCATTGTTTAACCAAATCTTAAAAAGTTACAACAGTACCCACTAGAGCTCCCAATATGTGGATAGCCTATTTTTTGTAACAAGTACAAACTTTTACTTTTAGTACAAAATCAACATTTTCAAAAAACAGCACGTATCATGATCAACACACCAAAGGCTTTTCTAAATCTCAGAACTTATCAATAACATGTCGAAGCACTGGATATGTGGATCCTCAACTTCTTTTCTTTAAGAGTACTTATCTAATTCAGCATCCTAAGTTAGATACAGGAAACTAGGTTTCCATGTTAGAGTTGGAGGGTTTAGAAGCAGGGGATCATAGGTAGCAAGAAGTTCCCTAGTTTGGAAGTGTCAAAGGAGTGCTCTTACAATAAATATATATATTAAAAAAAAAAAAATACACACTTTTTATAAATTGCATTAGATAGTACATATTTTAGGAGCATGGTTATTTTACTGAATTAAGTAAATTTTAAGACTCATATTTATCTAGTCAAGTCTTATCATATAGAAGTCCTGCACAAACCACTATAATTTAAAAAGGGATCTAAACCATAGATCAAGAATAAATATAAAGAGATAAAGAGATAGCGAGAGGTCAGAGATATGAATTGTCATCCAAATTTCCTAAACGTCAACACACCATCCTGTCTTTAATGCAAGTATGATACCATTGCATTCATCGTTTTCGTTTTTGATGGATCAATAGTTAAGCAGCTTTTCCCTTGAAAAGAAAAATATTTTTATTATGTACATGGATTTGCATCATTATTTGTTTCTTTCTTCGACTGACATGCATTTAAGATTTTCTTTATGTGATAGATGTGAATAAAAAGCATATTTTTTCCCTTATATACAAATATGATTTTGCAACATAATTTTTTTATTTTTTATTGATGCGCATTTAAGACTTGTTACTTTTTAAAAGATATATCTAACATGAGTGTCAGTAATATTGATCAATCCCTGAGGGATTGAGATCATGTTCTCCATATGGGAGTGGTATCTACCTATGATCCCCCTCAGGGCAAATGGGATCCCAAGGATCACCACAAAGTTGGGCAATCCTAGTAACCGCCAAAGAACCTGAATTTCAGCAATGTTGCACTTTGTTGCAACATTTTCCTGTTAGGGTATCACTCTCTCTTTAAAATGAGGATGTCACGATTTTCCTATTAGGGTATCACTCTCTCTTTAAAATGATGATGTCACGGACCCTTTAACACCCCATTCATTTTCTGGTTCATATCCCACTCCTAAATACGAGCATTCACATGCTTCTGATCATCTTCCCCCACCTGCCCCCACTACTCTGAGAATCCACACTATTGAGAAAATTTGGAAAACCAAAGTAGTACTTGATACATAACTCCCACGACTGGTAGTCTTTTATGCAAGGATGATACCATTGCATTCATAATTTTCTTTTTTGATTGATCAATAGTTAAGCAGCTTTTCCCCCTGAAAATAAAAACATTTTATTATGTACATGGAGTATTTCAAAAAGCGTTAGGAGGGTCCTAGGCAGCCTGGGGGGTCCAGGCTGCCTGGTGCCCAAGTGGGCGCCCAAAACCTGGGGGGCTCAGTAGAAAGAAAAATGTCTCTATAGTCTCTAACAGTATAAGTATAACTGTACAAAACATAAGAATTAGGGATTTAGGGCACATCAAAATTCAAAAGTATACCGCACAACACATATGAGCACACACTTCATAAGACCTTAACCATAAGTCCATATCCAATTATGAATTATCCATAGTCTATTTGATAGCCCACACTCCACAATCCACATTCCACGCATAGTTAAAACTTAAAATTTACCAACAAAATTACCAAGGTTACCAAATACCAAACCAGTGGAACCACAAATCCACTATCCACAATTACATTACATAACCAAGAAGAGGAAAACAAAAATGAAAGAAATACTTGAAGACTTAAAAGAATCATCGATCATCATTCATCATTCATCATCAGAAAAAGTAGGGTCAGCTGCATTTGTATCATATGCATCGGAGTCGATGCAATCATCATCGTCATCGTCTCCCTCCTTGACATAATAGTCGTCCTCCTCTATCTCTTATGAATCTGCCTCTGCTTCCGCCTCTTCCTCCACCTTCGTCCTCTAGGAAGAAGATCTAGTGGCCCTAGGAGGGTTAACTGATGTCCCTGAGGCATCCATGATCATATCCCATGTCAATCCTTCATGCGCCTCAACCTAATCATCGTCAACCAATCACTCCATAGCATTGTTCATATTTTTTGATCTGATGGGGTCTCTCTATCTCTCTTAGAAAACCTAGCTTTCAAGAATCGATTATACTTGACATAGACTAGATTATTGAGCCTATTTGATTCAAGCTTGTTCCTTTTCTTTGTATTAATCTAACAAAATCAAATGAAACTAATTAATATAAATAATTAAATATATAATAGTAATACTACAAAACTAATAATTACTAAAGTACTAAATTACTAATACAAATTACCCATTCAAAAGTACTCCACTTCCGCTCACAACTGGACGAGGCAGTGGTTAGGTTTAAGATTCGAATGGCCAACTTTTGTAAATTTGGAGCGCTACACCCATGTTGGCTCCACTAATTGGTTGCAATGATATAGAATAGATTCATAAATAAATAATAGAATTATAGAAATGAAACTTCAAACTTGATACTTGAACTTGATGAACTTAAAAATATTATTACCTGGATCAATTTTGATCCTTTGCTTCATCACCATTGGACTCCCAAAAAATTTAATGCGTACTTGTAATTTATTAGCTCATCGGCACATTTAATATCTTGGATATCTAGATCAAGGACTAGCACATCTACACACTTATTAAATCCAGTCATAATTGGGTCATTTGTGCGTATATCTCTATCAATATAAAAAAAAGTTAGGTTCAAATAATAACCCGCTGCATGCAATGGATGTAGCTGCCTATCCCACTTCTCATTAATAATCTCCCAAACAGGCTTATAGCGGCTCTCATCATCATCTGAATTTTGGGTTATCTCTCTCTTGCATCTCTTTATAACCTCAGCCCATAAAAGCCTTGTCATTATCAACCATGCAAAGGACTTTGACAAGAGGAAAAAATACCTTAAGAGCACACTTCACGCCTCGCCAAAAATCCTTAGAAAGGATAATATCTATCACCTTCTGCCTCAACCAAGGTTTCAAAAAACGCTAGGCAGTCTGCTTGGCGCCTACTGCCTAGGCGGGCGCCCAGAACCTCAAGCTCCCTGTGATGTAAATCCTTAGCACCAATTTAGAGATTGAGGGTTTCTTTTTTTTTTCACTTTGGGGGTTCAAAAATCAACCCCATAACATTTTTATACAAACTTGGGGGTCAAAATGACCCCCTTTGCCCTTTTGGGCGAATTTAAAAATCGAAAAACGCCTTACGGCCTTGGGCGCTCCCCTAGAACTGGGCGCTAAGCGCCCGCCTATCCTGCCAGAGCACCCGCCCAGGTACAACCGCCCGTGTAGGCATGCGGTTTTTTGGTTCAAGCTGCCTAGGCGGGCGCCTAAGCGCCGAGTAGATCGCTTTTTGAAACCTTGGCCTCAATTGGACTCTCCTCGAATGTATGCCATCGAAGCATAAGTACCAGGTCGCAAATCTCATGACCTCAGGCCTCACAATCTCTTTCTTCATTATAAATCTACGCATCATGTTGAGGGTGAAAGTGTGGCTATAAATAAAATTCGTAACTGACTTTGCCTTCTTCACTACACCTAAAATTTCACTTAAACTGCCAAGAGCCTCAAGCATGAAGTCTATTCAATGTGCTGCACATGGTGTCCAAAAGATTCTAAGGTAAGCTATGCGCAACAAATTAGCAGCAATGTTTGTGACAACCTATATAACAAGCTGCTCCCCAACCTCCTTGATTCCCCTCTCTATAACTTGGAGTATGTAAGGCATAATGGCTATGTTCAGCAGCATCAATAGACCTAAAAAAGGGAAAAGGGTCCCTAAAGGACAATTCACCAACAAATTCATCTGCCTTCTTCTCTTCCTATCACTCCAAACATCAGTCATAATAGAAACTCCATACTGAGCC